CAGTGGGGCAATCTCTGGCGCTTGGGTAAGACGTAAAACGCAGCAGCAAATCAATCAGTAGATGCTGCAGCAGCAGTTGCTGCGACAGCAACAGCAGCAGCAACGCAACGATAGCGCAGAAGTCGCAACCACCAGCAGCAGCAGGGGCACCAACAGCAGCAGCAGCAACAACAGCAGCAACAGCAGCAGGAATAGTATTTTACTGCTGCAGCTGAAGGAAGTTGCAGAGAAAGGCATCTCCATATGCTGGTTCTCCTGCTGAGGGGCAGCAACCGAAGACAGACTGCAGCAGCAGCAGCAGCAGCAGCAAAACACACAGAGAGCAATCAAGCTTACTGCTGCTGCTGCTGATACTGCTGCTACTGCTGCTGCTGCTGAAGCTGCTACGAATGCTGCAGAGCATTTCTTCCTGGCTCTGCTGACGCGTTTCTTGCTGCAGCTATTGCAGCAGCAGCAGCTGCCGCTGCTGCTGCTGCTGCTGCTGCTGTTGCTTACCTGCAACGTCTCTCTCAGCAGCAGCTGCAGCAGCTGGATCGTTGGCGGTGCTGCGGGGTGTGTTGCGGTTTTGCATTGAGGCGTATGTACACCTGAAAGCTTCATAGCGAGAGGCAGCAGCAGCAAAGGCGGAGCAGCAAGAAGAGCAGCAACAGCGTGCAGCATACACCGCAGCAGCTGCAGCACACACACCAAACCCTAAACCCTAAACCCTAAACCATAAACCCTAAACCCTAAACCCTAAACCCTAAACTCGAAGCCCTGAATTCTAAACCCGCAATCGCAGCAGATACTCCTTACTAGCAAACAGAAAATGCACCGCCTACTCTAGACCCTAATTGAGGGTTTAGGGTTTAGGGTTTAGGGTTTATCATCGCTTAGTCCTACAAGAGCCTCCTCTTGTGTTGAAAGCGGCCTGGGAAGGTGCAGCAACTGCTGCTTCTGCTGCTTCTGCTGCTGCTGCTGCTGCTGCTGCATGCCAGCGTACTTGGGCCCGCACACTGCTGCTGCTGCTGCTGCTGCTGCTGCTGCCACTAGCGGGCGGATGAGGACGTCAGCAAAAACACCCTCAACTGCAGCAGCAAAAAAAGATAAACCCTAAACCCTAATACACACTAAACCCTAAACCCTAATGCAAACGAAACCCTAAACCCTAAACCCTTTCCCTTCAACCTTAGCGACGTAAAGTAGGTGTGAAAGAAGCAGCAGCAACAGCAGCACAAGCAGCAGCACCAGAAACAGCAGCAGCAAACAAACAGGAAACAGCAGTTGCTGCAGCAGCAGCTGCTGCTGCAGGAGTATAAGCATGAGACGCACATTTTGCTTCGCTGCTTACAGCAGCAGCAACAGCAGCAGCAGCAGCAGCAACAGCAATAACAGGAGCAGCCGCAGCACAAGCAGCAGCAACAGCACAAGTAGCAGCAGAATCAAACACAGCAGCAGCAGCAACATAACCAGCAGCAGCAGCAGATGTTGCCTTTAGCAGCACAAGCAGCAGCAGGAGCACAACCAGCACCAGCACCAAACGCAGCAGCACATGCAGCCTCAGCAGCACAAGCAGCAGCAGCAGCAACAACAGCAGCAGCAGCAGCAGCAGCCACCTGCAGCAGTCCCTTCTTTTGTAGACAGCAGGTGGCGCGTTATTCGCCCCAATGCAACAAACCACTCCGTCTCTGCTGCTGCTGCTAGCTCCTGCTGCTCCTGCTGCTGCTGCTGTTGCTGCTGCTGCTGCTGCTGCTCTTGCTCCTGCTGTTGGCGTGCTGCTGCTGCTGCTGCACTGTCTCTTAAGTGTAGCAACAAATCATTCAGCTCTAGCAGCAGTCTCTTTCTCAATGTTTGCTGCAGAGCAGCAGCAGCATCATGAAGCTGCAGCAGCAGCTGCTGCACTGCTGCTGCTGCTGCCTCTCTTTCCCTTTGCCAGTCGCTCAGTTCGCTGCTGCTGCTGCTGCTGATGCCGTTGCTGTTGCTGTTGCTGCTGCTGCTCTGGGACGATATAAGCAGATCTCTAAGCGTTGTTTCCTCTTGTAGCTGCGTAGGCTGCAGCAGCGCAGCTTGTGTTGCTGCTGCTGCTGCTGCAGCAGCCGCAGCTTCTTCTGATGCTAGGGGCAAGCCGCCTCCTGCTGCTGCTGCTGCTGCTGTTGTTGCTGTTGCTTCGGGGTTTGTCTGAGCTCCAGCAGCTGTTGCTGTCGCCGTAGATCCTGTTCCTTGCTGCTGCTGCTGCTGCTGCTGCTGCGTGCGAGGGATATGATAGAAGCTTATTGCTGCAGCTAAGGTTTGTTGCAGCTGCTGCAGCTTCTCATAGGCTCTCTGCAGCAGCAAACATTTGGTGGTGTCAGCAGAAGAAAGACACACAGGCAGCAGCAGCAACTGCTGCTGCTGTTGCTGCTGATGCTGCTGCTGCTGTTGCTGCTGCTGCTGTACTGGGGCCCCTCGAGCCACAGCTTTTGCTTGCTCCATCAGCTGCTGCAGCTGCTGCAGCGCAGCAGCGCTGTCAAGCTTCATTGCTGCTGCTGCTGCAGCCGTTGCTGTTGCCTCCCAGGCGTCAGTTGCGGCATTCCTGCTGCTGCTGCTGCTGCTGCTGCTGCAGCGCTGCTGCATATCCGGTGGGAGAAGCAATTGCTGTACCTCCTGAAGCAGAGACTGAACAGCAGCAGCAGCAGCAGCAGGTGCTGCTGCTGCTGCTGCTACCTGCTGCTGCTGCTGTTGCTGCTGCACCCCCGATGGTTGGAGCGCCTGCAGCACCCCCGTCTGCTGCTCCCTGCTGCTACTGCTGCTGCTGTTGCAGTGCAGCTGCTGCCGCAGCATCTGAGCAATATTTAGGAGAGAGGTGTAGCTGCTAAGAGAGAGACGGCTGAGCTGCTGCCTCTTGAGTGCTTCTTGCTTCTGCTGCAGCAGCAGAAGAGCGCAGGAGCGAGTGTGTAGGAGAGCAGCATGTTGTTGCTGCACCTGTGCTGCTGCTGCTGCTTGCTGCTGCTGCTTGCATAGATCCTCAAAATCATCATCTGCAGCAAGCAGCGTTTCTTGTATTGCTGCAATGCTGCTTCTGCTGCTGTACAGTGCTGCTAACAGCCGCTCCTGCTGCAGTGCAGCGCCCCGCAGCAGCTCCGCTCCCAGCTCCCCTAGAGATTGACTCCTGCAGCAGCAGCAGCAGCAGCAACAGCAGCAGCAGCAGCAACACCGCAGCAGCTCTTGTCGCATTCTGCTGCGGTGTTGGGTTGTTTATATGTATATGTATATTTGTATTTATATTTATATTTATATTTATATTTATATTTATATTTATATTTATATTTATATTTATTTTTATTTTTATCCTTATATTATGTTATATTATGTTATATTTTATTATGTTGTATTCATCTTACCTGCTAGCCTGCAGCACAAAAGATAATGGGTTTGCTGCTTTTGCTGCTGCTGCTGCTGCCTCTGAGAGCGGCGGACCCCGTGCAGCAGCCTCAGCAGCAGCAGCTGCTGCTGCAGCAGCAGAAGCAGCAGCAGATGTGGGGGATGCGTCCGTATAAGCAGCTGCTGCAGCAGCAGCAGGAGCTGCTGCAGCAGCAGCAGCTCCTGCTGCTGTGTCTTCTCCAGCTGCAGCAACAGCCATAGTGAGCCCTCAGCAGCAGCAAATGTGCAGCAACACTCAACAAGGGGTAGGCAAAAGGCTGCAGCAGCAGAGGCTTGCTGCTGCTGTGCAGCAGCAACAGCAGCAGCAGCAGCAGCAGCTTGCTGCTGCACCCCCCAAGCTATGGCAGGCAGTAAAGATGTCTCAGCAGCAAAAGAAATGTTGCAAATTAAAAAGAAATCGGCGAAGAAAAACAAACAAAAAAATACAAGCTAGTGTTTAGGGTTTAGGGTTTAGGGTTTAGGGTTTAGGGTTTAGGGTTTAGGGTTTTGTCTTTGGAGCGTGTACAGCAGAATATAGTATGAAATGAACTCAACACTTTAATTTTAATTTAAATAAATATTTTATTTATTTTATTTATTTATTTTATTTATTAATTTATTTTATTTATTTTATTTATTTTATTCTTCGCTTCGTTCTTCTGCTGCCCCTCGGGGCTGCTTGGGGCTGCTGCATTACAATATATTTTCTTTGTTTGTGTACACCGCAAAAGAAAGAGTTGTTTATTTCTTTTTCTATTTATCCATTCATATATAGAGCTAGCTATCTAGCTAGCTAGCTAGCTAGCTAGCTATTTATATGAATAGAGTCGCTGCATACAGCGCAGTAGCAGAGCCCCCTCTACCTTGTCAATTTTTTTGTTTGTCTCTGAGTTATAATTAACTCTTTAAAATATTTATTATTTTTTGTGCTTTTCTTTGTCTGTAGAGTCGGTCTTTCTCTTTATTATCATATATAATACATATATCTATTATATAATATATATATATATATATATTATTAGATATAATATATATATATATATATTATATATATTTGATATTATCTTCTTTGTTCTGATAGCCACCTCTCTAAACATTTTGTTTTATTGATTTGCCTTTCTTTACTAAATAAATACTTAATTTATCTGTCTTTATTTATTTATTTATTTATTTATTTATTTATTTATTTATTTATTTATTTATTTTAATCATTTATTTATTTTAATTATTTTCTGCGTTTTTCATCCCCAATCAAATTATCATTTATTTATTTTTTTGTTTTTGTTTATTTTAATTGCGACGCCAAACTTCTGTTATCCCTCATAGAGCAACAACAATAATAAAGCAAAGAAAAAGCTGCTGCTGCTGCTGCTGCTGCTGCTGCTGCAGCTGCTGCTG